AGAGAGAGAGAGAGAGAGAAAGAGAAAGGGGGCGACCCCTTTTAGAGCTGCGCCCAGGGGCAGAGCCGGTCCCTTTGGCAGGAGGCGGCGGGGGTGCCGAGTCGCCGGGGAGCGAGGGCGTCGCTCTGGGTCACGGCCCCACAAGTCGCCTCCTTCCGTCCTCCGTGTTTCTGGCGCAAAGCGTGGGCGGCAGCACCGGCGCCAGACCAGCAGGCAGCTCCGCCGCGAGCGCATCTCCCGCGCTCTCCGACTGTCCGCAGGCGGAGCTCGAGCCCCGCTCGGGAGACGGTCCGCGGGCCGGGAGAGAAGGCGGCTTCCGCGGTCGCCGTCCTCCTGGCAGGGCGCCGACTCCGACCCGCCTGGCCACAGGCGCCGGCGCTGCAGCCCGCGGACTCCCGCCCCGCTGCCCTTCCTGAGAGCGGCGCGGAGGCCGCTGCGGCGGCGGTTTCGGCGGGGGAGGCTCCTCTGCGGTGCTCTCCCCGGTCCGGTCCTAGGCGAGAGCCCCGTCTCCAGGCTCTGCTGTGCGAGAAGAAGCGTCGGCTCCGAGCAGCCCTCCCCGCCGCCGGCAGAGCAGACCCGGCCCCGCCGCGCGAGAGCTCGCGTGTGTCCGGCTCCTGCCGCCACCCCGCGGCGCCTCCGGGCGCTCCTGCCGCCAGGCCTGGGGGTCGGTGGGGGAGGGGTCGTCCTCCTGCGGGTCAGACCACCCTGCCCCGGCCGGCCCGACGGCGCGGCCGTGCCTCGCTCCGCTCCCTGTGCCTATCCCGCGCTCTCCGGATTTCGTGTTCAATTCTCCCGTCCACTTTTTCTCCCCGCGGCGCAGCTTGTCCTTCTCTGTTCTCTGCAGACTCCCGGAGCCGACCCTACGGGAGGGCGACTTACTCGCGTGTGGCCGTCCGCCTTCTTCACCCCCGCTCCTGGGGAAGGCTTCCCCTGGGTCCTACAGGCGTTCCTGCTCCAGAGCTGGGGTCCTCGAGGGGTGACCAGCCTGTTGATTGGGGCGGAAATTGTCTCCCCGCAGGGGCTCTTCCTGCCAACCAGGGGGTGAAAGGCTCAGTGTGACCTGAGGGAGGACAGGGGAGCGTCTCGCTTTTAATCTTTATTTCATGTAGGAGAAACGCATCGCAGGTTTTGGAACAAAACACTTTGACAAGTAAATGACTTTCATGCTGTATATTTTCACACATTAATAGCATCATTTGCATGCTAAAGAAACGAAATTTTTATCCTGCTGTGTCCACCAAGGACTAATTTAATGAATTAAATAGAATTTGGATTGCCTTCTGAGAGAGAGAAGGTTAAAAGGTACATTTTGCTAAATATTTAAAATTTTTAACCTTTGTGGTATAGATCCCCATGATTTTTATAGCAACTTGAAGCACAATTGTATCTTGCTTGAAAATTCTCCTTTTTTAGGTTCAGTGGTAATTTATATGATTCTTTGAATTAATACACAATATATCAAATAATGTTATCATTCTGCCATGGAAGAATTTCTGAACATGTTTATCAAATTTCCTGTGATTTTTGTTTTATCAAACCCAGTGCATAGAGAAAGACGTTTTACATGTGTGAAGGCAGCATTGAGAGTCTCCCATATGCCCTTTTGCCCCAGTAAGATATGGGACCATCTCGGACTCCATTGTCCTCAAACATAAATGAACAACCTTCATGTTTCCATTTAATTATTAATTTGGTCACTTGTGAAAAAAAGCAAGATCTATATTTTAATTTGTGTTCTTGGAACTTCTGTATGGATTTATTGGTTAACATCTGCTATTCTAATCACAAACTGTCAAACACAGAGGAAGTCCATTTACTAGAGGTTTTTAGAAGCAATGATCGGTATAGATAGCATCAAATAATTCATCTTATTAGGTATAATCTTTTCCTCCAATAAATATATTACAATAAATTTAACAAATAGGCAAGATTATTGAAGCATCTCTGTAAATATCTAAAGTAGTAATCTGGAAAAAATTGATTAAAACAATCTTTTGTTAGGAAAGTAGAAAAATCACTTTAAGCAGGAAATTACCTTATGAAATATGTTTCACATTGTTGATATAAGTGCAAAAAAAGAATCAGAGGTTGAACACACAATAATAAAAGATAAGAATTTTAAGTAATATATTTTTTTGAATCATTAAATTTAATACAACCCATGATATTACTGTATAGTATTCCATTTAACATTTTTTAAAAAGTGGACCATTTTTGAGGTTTGGGCTTAAATTAACTTTTTGTACACAAATATATTTTATTTTTCCATTATTTTTATACCTTTATGTTACAAATATATACATGTTAACACATCTACAAGGCCAAGGGTTAAAAGTTGCTTTTTGAAAGATTAACTGTCTGCAGAACATATTACAGCTCCTTGCTGTCCGCACTCACGGGTCTCTCTTTACTGTGCCTTTGCTCTCTCTCCAGGAGCCTTCCACCAGGAACCTGGAGCCTGGAGCCTGGAGCCTGAACCTCTGGAAAGCCTTCCGTTCCAGCCAGACTGAAGGAGATCCCTTCTCCAGGGATTATTGTTCATCTAATCTGACACCTGGCCCCTCCCGCAGGCAATTTCTTTTGACCGCTTTTTTCCCCCTCTGTGTATGGGTCACATTTATTTGTTCTTTACATGTCCCATAACTTTTTGTTAAAAACTGGACATTTTAGGTAATATACTGTCACAGCTCTGGATATTGATTTCCAACCCCCTCTCCAGAGATTATTTTTATTATTGTTTGCTTGTTTATTTGGTTATTAACTTGGCTAAATATTTTAGTGAAGTCTGTCTTCTCTGATACGGAAAACTTCTAATTTCACTCCTCCTAAGGTGTGGAGTAGGGTGTGTGCACAATCACCACGGGATGGCAACTGTTTTAGCAGTTGCTTTGTCTCTTTTCCTGACCTCTATGTTACACTACTGGTGTTGCCTCTACTGGTATCACACCCAGATGTTAAACTCCACTAATTATGAGCTGGTTGCTCTATTGTTTTTGACAGTGTCTTGAGACATAAATTAGTCCACAGTCTGGTGCAATTAAATTTGGGCAGGGGTGGGTGTTGAGGCCAGCCTTGGAGGTTTCTTTTGACTCTACCAAGGCTTTTCTTAACTGTTTCCCTGATTATCTCTGGTAACCGGCCTACAGTTTAGCTTGTTTCTCTCATGGAACTAACAGCCTCCTCTTAATTGTCTGTCACCAAAGTCTTCATTGTTTTTGAGAGCGCCCTTGGTCTTGAAATTACCCACATTCTGTTTTAATTATTCTGAGTTAATTCCTTTGGTGAAAGCTCTGGAGTTCCGTTTTTATGGACTATGTCTTTCCCTGAGCACCATCTCTAAGACTCTTCTCTCATCCTGGCCTTTGTTATTCTCACCTTGCCTCTCCTGGAATCAACAGTCTTCCCTAGGAGTGAACGAGAGTGAAGGTGATCAGGGCCCTAATGTTCTCTGCTTGCCATGCCCAAGTAGAACACCCACCCTAAGAGTGGAGGCTGGATGGTGGAAGAAAGCCCCTGACGTCTCATTCAGCAATGTGACCTCTGCGACACAGAGTAGGAGGGGATCAGAAATGCTGGTAGCCTGCCCCTCCTGTGATATGCCCTGTGCCTTGACTGGGAGCTGGAGGGAGAAGGAAGGCTGTCTTGGCCGTATCTACCCAGAGCAGTGGGCTCCTGTCACACTGAGCTGGTGGGAGAGGGTGGGGTGAAAGGATTGAGGGAGGATGGAAGAAGGAAGTGGGATGTGGCTCAAATTCCAGAATAAATATTTCTTCATTTGTTTGCTATAAACCCTTAAGACAATTTCCAAGGATTTCGAATGGGGTGTATGTGTGTGTGTGTGTATGTATACACACACACACACACACACACACACACACACACACACACATGTGCATACGTAAATATATAGATAGTACTTCTTTCACTGGGAGCAGTTCCGTGGGGCTCTCCATGCTGCCATTCCAGAGGTGAATTATCGTTAGTTTTTGAGCCATTCCTGCTAAGCTATTATCAGTGGTACCAGGATTCTCTAATGACATGATTTATTTAACCAATGGAAGAATAGGTTCTTATAATAGTTCAGTCATGGTGTCTGCAGCCTCAAAGCTCTTTCTTTTTCCTCAAACTTTTCCCAGAAGAACAAAAGCCTCAATCTCTCCAAAGTCTGACTAAAGCAGCAAATACCACTTTTAGCAACTTTCCAATCCCTTAAAATATGTGAAAATATGCAGTAAATTCTTGCTATAGATCACATTAAAACCTTTATCTTATTTTTAATTACAAAATGTGATTATCTTAATGTATAAAAAAGTTACATATCCATGCAATAAGATACTATTCAGAAATAAAAAGGAGCACACAACTAATTAATGGTTCAACATAGACGAACCTCAAAAATATCATACGAAGTGAAAGAAGCCAGATGAAAAATACTACATATTGTAGGATTCCATTTATATGAAATGGCCAGAAAAGGCAATTCTTATGAAGACAGAAAGCAGATTAGTGGTTGCCTGTGGTTGGGAGAGGGAGTGGAGATTGACTGCAAGTGGGCACAAGAGATCTTTTTGAGATGATGGAAATGTTTAAAACTTGAATTTCATTGATGGTTGCACAACTGTGTAAGTTTGCTAAAAATCACTTAAAATGGTTGAATATATGTTATGAAAATTCCACTTTGATAGAGCTGTTCAAATATGATTGTTTTATTTTTTTCTATAACCCTTATATTTTGCACAGTGGCCAGCACATAACATGCTCGATAATGCTGATTAGGTGAGTGAATGAACAGATCAAGTGATATAAAATCCCACAGGAGGCAGAGATCAGCTCTCTGCCCAGGAAGTGGTGGCAACAGAGTGAAGAGCACCGAGCAGCCAGGTCTCTAGAAGCTCGCCACGCACCACGAGGCGGGAGCAAGTGGTAAGCACACAAGATGCAGGTGATGGGAAGTCAGAGACAAGTCTTACCCGGAGCTAGCTCCGATCACCAAGTTGGTGGTTACTGTGGCACCATCCACCCCCAACTCGCCCATCGCGATCTGAGGAAAAATGGAAACAAGGAAGGATGGAAAGCTGAAAACACAAAGCTCCGAGTCCCCACCCACGCTTCAATCAAAGGAGATCATTACTGTATTAATTTGCATTGTTAAGACATCGAAGTTTTTCTTTGAAGAAATTCCCTGTGGCAAACAAACAAAGAGTATAAACAATTTTGGATAATCACATTGATTATGCCAGTCAATTTAGAATACATTATTTACTAATTAACCTTATTATTTCCTCAGGAATCGCTCATTGACCCCAGCCTTAGCACCCTGTGTTCATCCACGTCACAGGGCCAACTGCAGATCAGCTTTGGAAGGGTCAGTCAAAGACTTTCTCATCCCTCATTCTACTCCCAGGAGTGGAATACATGCTTAATAGTTATTGTACGATTCGATGAAATATTGGAGTTACTAAAACATAATATCAAACAAACTCAGTGTTTTAAACATACCAATTAGTTGAACAAGGCATTTTATCCATTTGCCAATTTGCTATAGATTTCATTGCCTTGTTATACCCACATTGAGATGTATATATGTTAATAAGCTTTCTGAATAATAAGTGACAGGTCATATACCTGCTACTCTGCTCACAGGAACATATGGCTAATAAAAAGCAACAGAAGGCCAGTAAGAAAACTGTTTTTTCCAATTCAGGGCATTACAAAGTTTAGCCTGTACCTGATAATATAAAACTAGTTAAAATTCATTTCTCTTATTCATAGTGTTCAAAATTCCTCCAATCACTATATTTAAAATGTTTTAGTTTTATTATTGTCTTACATACTATAAATGCTTCAGCAGTCTGGGCCCTGATCTACCACCAGATAGAAACCAGGTACTTTTCACCCTCTGCTCTTTATTAATTTAGGTATTTTCCTTCCCATTACATGAAAAAATAAGGGAGAAGAAGTAAAATTTAAATGAGAAGATTACTTGATTATAATGCCAATAAAAAATTCCGTATGGACTGAAGTTGAGAAATAATGCTAACTGCATTTTTTCAATGATCTATGGGTTTCAATTATCCAGGGATCCTTTGTCTTCGTTAGAATAAATAACTGCAAGTTAATGAAACTTTTTAAGATAGAATTTAAATCTCACCATGCTCAACTTCATTATCTGGAACTGGATTTTCCTTTTCAAAGACTAAAGGGAATTTAGGAAATTACATTATTGTTATTTTTCCCTTTCTTTGAAAAAGCTGACACAAAGTATTTCATGCATAAAGAAAACAGTAAACCAGAAAGATTGCAGGTTAGCCTCCTTTTAGTACTTCATTGATTATAAGACTCATATTCTATCATATTTCAGAAACTTAGTGGCTATGATTCTTGGAAAACATTTTAAGATAAAAGAATATGCATATACATAAAAGTTTCATCTTTGTATATTAGATACATACACATGCATAAACTATTATAACAAAGTCTTGAAATAAATTTCTAAACTTAAATTATTAAATGTGAAAATATTCCACAAAAATTTACTGTCTTCCTAAATGAACATTCGATATTAACACATGGCACCAGAGGGTCATAATTGCATCACTCTGGTTAACAATATGGGCCAAGGACTTTGATCATGACCTTCAGCAAGTTATTTTAGCTCTTTGAGCCTCAGTTTCCTTTAGAGTAAAAAGTATGATAAAAACATACATTTTACCATTTAGATGTTCTGTAATACAGCTGGGACATTTATATATACTGCATATTGTTACCCGAAAATGAAAAATAACTACCAATTTAGAGGTGCATATATACTTTAGTCATTGGGTTGAAATATGTTCTAATAGGTTACAACATCTTTCAGACAAAATAAAATATCTCTGAGATCTTCAAATGAAAAAATTCAGCAGGAATTCAATAAACTCTTTATCTATTAGAATAATTACATTGAACACTCCCTCTTGTGTACAATTGCATCAGTTTCCTACCCTGGCTACATTTTTTCTTATTAACAAGTTTTCCTCAATAGCTGAAAATTTATTTTCATTATTATTGACCTCTCCAGTTTAGAAAATTATGACAACATGACAAAATGATTTCCTAGAGTCTAAATGGTTGGGTCAAGGTGGTAGAAGTTGCTCAAATAATAATAAATCCAAAACAAATCCAAAATTATATCAATAGGTCTTGAAAACCTGCTTACTGCTATGTTAAGAAAATGGAAGAATCACTGCATTGATTCTATAACACTGCTACTTTATTTTATATTTCAAATTTAGTTAAAAATGGATCTGTGCTAACATGGAATATCAGGCCTTGTTTTGCTCAACTAAATGCCTTAAAAACTTCTAGTCTCCACCCATTTTTTTTTAATGTTCTTATTATTCTTAAGAAAACTCATCATTGAAAATATTTATGTTCAGCATTGCCACCCAACATTTCCTGAGTATACAATATGGGTCAGGATTGTGCTATGCACTGGTGATATAAATAGGAATAAGTGATATTCCTTGCCTTTTTGTCAAATTCACAATACAGAAGGAAAAACAAGTAAGCAAACAAGTGATTTTTTTCTTAAAATTTATTTGCTACAAAAGCTCATATGCTATATCCACACACACAAACCAGTCCTTTAAAAGCAATTACATTAAGCATTAAATACATTATTTTAGGGGAAAAATGGCAAATTTAACCCAAACAATACTGCTGATCTAAATATACTATTTTTTATAGCTGAGGTTTGTTTTTTTTTCCCCAGTGTCTATTGTTTTGGCTAATGATATTGCTTTTACGTTTTTTTGTTTTTTTTTTTTCTTACTTGACCTATATCTGTAGCCTCAAAATTCCTCCAGAATTTATGGTAAAGATATTACACTGAGTGAATTAATTCACGACAAGAATTCCTTTTAGGCTCTGACTTATCTTAAATCAGAAGACTTGGTTAGATCTTAATTAGCATAACACTTTTTGTCAAAGAGCCACAGGCTATCTCTAGCTCAAAACCTTAGCATTTAAGAAGGATTTGAGGATCTGTGAGGATTACTGTCCTGTGGACACCTGCTATAAATAAGAGTAAGAAATACCCTGGTAACATTACTTTCCAAGTGTTTCTATTTGATAGAATCAGGCCTGACCACCAGGTTCTGTTTCTGCCAAGTCGATTATGTATAATTTTTAGTTGATGTAATTCTCTTAAAGCCAAATCAGAGTGCTGTGCTGTAAATAAAGCTCACTCTTCTTCACAGCAGGCTACTGTGTGATTACTCCTACTAACTTTACTCCTCTACCCCAGCCAAACTATGTGTATGGACAAGGAGGAGCCCTGGTGAAGAGGAGAAGAACGGAGCATTCCGAAATGTAATGACGTATACTTTATCAGCCACGACTTGCACAGTGAAAGAAGCAGTAATTGCCTGATGGTGTGTCAGGTGACCTTAGGGTTTTACATATAAAAGAATTCAGAGGCAATAATACATAAAAAGTAAAAGTGACATTTTCAATATCACAGCTGGATCAGAACAACCTACTATTTCGTCTATTATTTTCATGCGAACACTGAGTACTTATGTCAGTTTTGTCATCTTGTCACAGATTTGACTGCATTTTTTTGCCTTTTCAGAATTGTAAATAAACACTATGGTTACTAATTTCAAGTAAATGACTCTGGTCTTGAATATTTTCAATCTTTTGGTTCTTTGATCCCCTATAGTGTCTACAGTCTGAATCACTCGACCCAGCATTTAATTAACTATAAGACTTTAATTTTGTTCTTGGAGATACAACAGAATCTTCCATTTCTGTTGTAACACTGACTACCCTAGAAAGGACTGGCACATGGTAGGTTTTTGATGAATACCTTTGGATTGGTTCAATCTCTTAGCTCCTGAGCCATTACACTCACTGCTCACATGGTTACAGAATATTACAGCAGAAGGGAATTCAGCCCACTTTACAGAGGACAATTAAGCGATTTTCAAAGGAACAGTTAGTTCCTGGCAGAAAGAAGAAACAAACTCACAATCTTAAGAGAAGGTCCTTTCTGCTACCAAAATGTGGAGATACTGCACATTTTGATTCAAAATTCAGAGATACCTTGAGATCTCTAAATATTTTGCAAGGGAAAAAAAGTGTTTTCCAAACTGAAAAGAAATTGAAGAAGGAAACAAGCATTCGAGACTACATTGAAAACATTGTCTGCTTCTGAATTAGGAAACACCAGTGGCCCATTACTCTAAAATGCACAAAAAATTCAAGAAAATTTAAAGGGGTCTAAAATTTAATGAAATTATATGATATTTTAACAAATATAAAGTAAGAATAATCCAAAAAAACTACTTATTAAGTGTTAATATTGAGCCTGTACAACGTTGTGTTTCACAGCTAATCAGGGTTCAGATATTAATTCATTAATTTATTTAATACAGGTTTTGTTTGATATAAGCCAGGAATTGGTTTCAGGACCTTTGCATATACCAAAATCTGTGTACACTCAAGTCCCCCAGTCTGCCCCAAGGCACTTGAGGATAGAGGAAAAGTTGGCCCTCCATATGTAAGGGTTTCACATCCCAACAATACTGTATTTTCAATCCATGTTTGGTTGAAAAAAATCCATGTATGAGGGGACCCATGCAGTTCCAATTCATGTTGTTCAAGGGTCAACTGTACATTCTACCCACCTAAATATGTACCAGAGACAATATGTAATCCCTATTCTCAATAAAAAGTAACTAATTAACAGGGAAAAAAAATAGCCCTCAGTTCTAATGTGTGCTGAGTTATTAACTAAACTCATGTTATTCTGAGGCCTATGACAAAGTCCTTAAGTATTTAAAGTAGGAACTGGACAGCCGTCAAAAGTAAAGTAAAACAAACAAAAATTCCTATGAGTTTATATAATCTCATCCACTCCCAAATGGCCCTTGTTAAAATACCATTTACCTTAGGTTACCCCTTCAGGAAAATGGAACAATTCTGTTTCCTACCCCTTGTAACTGCCAGCTGAGTTATAAGAATGTTTTATGGCACTTTAAGTTCTAGACAAGAGATCAACATGAATCCTTCTCTGCTCTCCTTTCTTTCTTGGCAAATACCTCTTACCACTAAAACCAATGTGGTTTCCACTCAATCCCTCAGGCCACTGACTCCTACCCTTTGAAAGGTAACTCTGGCAGCCATTAGACCATTTTGACAAGGGATAGTAATTCACCTCAATATACCTTTCGAATCTGCTAAATAAATGAGAGTAAGGTGGGTGTTCCTTTTGTGCTACAGTTCAACTCCTAACTTGAGCAGTTGTGGAAAGTTAAAGTGGAGATACAGCAATTGCACAGCCACCTGCTGTTCTTCCTGACAGCTGCCACTGCCCCTTGACACCGAAGAGCATAGCATTGTCACCCGATAACCAGGCAGTCCAGAAGTTTGGGGCATGTTAATGAATGTACTGCAGTGTACATGGTCTAAGGATTTATGCTGTCATTCTGGTACCAAGAGTAAAAGCTAATAACCTCTGCTTCCAAATGTATATTTGCAAAACTGTCAAGCCAGTGGTTTTGCTGTATTAGTGAAAATAGTTGCCTTTTCCAACATCAGGTATGGCTTAGTTTTGTAATTTTAGGTCTAAATTAAAGCAAACTATTGCTCCCAAGATTAAATGTATAAAAAAAGGAAGCTTTGGTTTCTTACACACAGGAAAATTATGTATCATAAAAGTATTTTCAGGAGTCTGCCTAACTCCATCATCAAGATCCTTTCTTTTGTTAAGTACCTAATAATCTATTATTCAAGTCAAAATATTGTAGGCTTTGTCATTTTCACTTATTATTCAGAGCAACTGTCTCATGACTATATAGCATCTCATATCTCACTCAGTGTCTCCAGCCTAAGAAAAGTTGGATGTGTTTTTCTCTCTTATCTGAATTGTGAGATTCAAATAAACATGAAGTAAACGAAGACTTAACCCTTTTACAGGATTAGCTATTACGGCCTGCTGACTGGCTGATTAAAAACTGAAACTATTTAATGGGAAACTAGTTTTTAAATTAAAAACTAAGCCATACACAGCAGCCTTATCAGGAGTAAATACAGTTTTGTAGGCAAAAACACAAGACATTATGCTTTCTGTTCTCATGGGGCTCTTCTTTGACAGGCAGAGCCAACAATAAAAAAAAAATAAAAGAGAGAGATAGAAAAAAAAGCAAAATTCTCACTATCAGCTCAAGGACACATGATAACTGAATTGAGTAGGGAAAATAATTGGGTTGGAATTTATCTTTTTAATATGAGAATGAAACTTTTCCTATTTTTAGTTTAAATTTTTCCTATTTTTAGTTTATGATTCCAATGTAATGCTGCCGTTGATTTAGCCTGTACATTGTCTGTTCTGGAAAACTTCCAGTGAATAAGCTAAAGGGAAACTTGTACAATTCATAAATACTCTAACATAACTAAACTTGTCCCATATACCTTTGGTGGCCAGAATTTACAGACAGATACCAAGAGATCCCGTGATGATGCATTGGATTAATTCACCAGCTTCTCACTTCTTCAGTTTCTGAGAGACCAGATCTTTAAAGCTGACATAGAGGAGAGTGGTGATGTATTGGATTAATTCTGTGTCCCCTTACTTTCATTGTAGGTCCCATGTGTTTCAATGGGCATCTGTCTCCATCACAGCCACATCACACCAAACATTTTATTTGTCAGATCATCTGGTCAAATACCACTCAAAGCAAGAAATGCTTAGGGAGAAGAGGAGTCCAGCTCAAGATCTGCATTCCATTTTTGAAATTGACCCAAGTGGTTTTTTCCTTCCAGTTTCTCAGAATCTTGCCTTTGTAGTTCCCTTTTCCCCGATCGTCCAGGACTTTCAAGCAGTAGTTTGGAATATTCTCTTTCTTTTTTTTTTCCGACACTGATGACCTTATAGGTAGAATAGATTCCATACTCTGTTTAATGTTAAACATCAGATTTTCAAAATTCCTAGTCTCATTTCCTCTGAAACCATTCATTTTGCTGTGAAGTACCTCTGCCTAAGGTTGTATTTTAAATGTTTCCGAAGTCCTCTGTGCTATGGCAAGCATGGATACAAGTTTATTATAGGCAACGAACAAAGAAAGATCGGAAGTAAAAACATTGAAAACTGTACACAGGTCTGTCACCTCCTTTCTTGAGATATTCTGAAACTAGCTGTAAAGCAATATTTGTAGTTTGTATATGAAAGCATTTCCATGTACAATATTTCACATAAATGAAATGAAGTGATCATCAATCTCCACCTAAATTTACACATAAGGAAACTGAGCCTTTGACAGGTTAAGTAACTCATCCAAGGTTACATAGCTAGTAAATGGTAAGATTTTTAACCAGGTTTAGCGAATCCATATTATTCCCCCAAACCATCTTGTTCTCCAGTGAAAATTAGAGAAATTTTTGTTTAACGACAATAAGATATAGATTAACATCAGTGAGAACAGGCAATATACACAGTAGCTATGATGTATTGGGCCTTTCCAGCACATTACAACAGGCAGTAGGTATCTACACGAAATATGTATAGCATTGCACTTAGAAAGGGGAAGTATGACTCCTTCAGAGTATGTGCCAAATGAAATGTGTAATGCTCCCTACTATTGCCCTTTTGTGAAACTCACACTATAATCACATATTCAGTGTTTGTCTTTATGGAGACTATAATCTCCACAAAGGGAAACAACATTAATTCTCCTAAAATGGAAGCCAAGAAGGAAGATAAGGGAAAATAAGGTAAATTTCTTCATTTTAGAGTCTGGCCAATATCAGCTCTAGAGCTTCTAGTTTGTCCAGGATTGTACCAGAAGCCTCTACTTCATTCTGTGCACAATATTGACAAATGAGCTTATATTTTAAACATTGATTCTCTGAAAAGTGTTTTTAAACCCAGGCATGAAGTATCCAACATAAGACAGCATACACATTACTTAACACAATGAGCACTCAGGAAGGAATCCTTTAAAAAGTTACAACTTAATCTGTGTGAAATGGTAGGCTATGTAGACATATGGCTATAATGAGAGAATACTTGGTCCATAGAACACAGTAAGGAAATGAAGTCGGGTTTTATGTAAAATTAGATGGAAGAAGGAAGGCAGTTGTTGTCTGATGAGTAAAAAACAAACAAATAAATAAAAAACAACCTCAAATTTTCCAGGGAAGCTCTACCAGAAATAGTTTAACATGTTGGAAATAGCTCTTGAACCCGAGGTCTGGTTTCCCTATGTGCTAGCTACATAGCTTTAGACAATCCATTTAAATCTCTGAGACTTCTCAGACATTGCTATAAAAATATCTTTTAAGATAACACACATAAACCATTTTAAAATACACATATGTAATAAGTGGGGTCTGGGGTGGGAAGTATGCAGTAAAAT